TTGATTTTACCAGATGTGGAGGCAGCAAATATAACATTGAGCCTGAAGTTTGGAACACATACTGAAGATTTCACTGGACTGGGGTTTACCTTCTGTTCCTCATTGGAGATATATTTAAACACAGAAACTTGATTCTTTATAATTTTACCTCTGTTCAAGTAGAGTGATTATTTAGTGCTTGACTGAATTTCCTTTACTTGTAAAGTATGTTAATGTTCATCAGAAATATCCAATTTGTAGTGTTCATGGGATTGATACTGCATTAGATAAAAAGAAAACATCATATGGCTATTTTTTTCTCTCTAAGGACATGTCAGCAATAGGACAGCCCTTATCATGAAATATGCAGGAACCTTTGTAGCATGTGTCTCTGGCAAAGGAAAGAGATGGAATAGACTAGGGAAAGTAACATAGCATTAGAACTGACCCCCAATGGGTATAATCAGACAATTCAGGTACCTAAAAGTCATTGAGAGTTTTGGATATTCAAGTTTTTATCAGAAACTATTTTTTCAGATTTTCTTTTATTATATTAGTGATGCACAACATAATTAAACACATTTTCTTCTTTTAGAATTTTACTTTTAAAAAATATCTGTCAATTGCATGGGAAAAATATCCATGCTTATTTGGAGCACAGGAACTATTTGAAAGTGACCTAGGCTAATATGACACATTAATTGATCACCTGCTATATTTTGGACATTGAACTACATGTTAAAAATCCTGTAAAGAAATATACACTACATTTTCCTTTTTCTATGCTCATAAATGACTGAAAACTAAGTAGCTCAGAGGTCCATGGGAATTGCTGTCCAGTGCTTTGGAAGTGAAGGGGCAATATATTATGTTGGTCTGATAAAAGGAAAAAAAAACAGGGAATGAGAGTTAAGGTAAGACTTGAAAGATAGCTAGAACATTTTTTAAAAAGAAAGTTTATTTTTACACCAAACAAATGTGCTCAAAATAAAATATTTCTAAAATATGAACAGAAAAAAAATCTCACCACTTTTGATTACTACTGATAACATTTTCATGTATTTACTGTTGTCTTATACTTCACATATAATTCTCTAATTTGCTTTTTCTGAAGTTCTTTAACACTTCTAGGGTATATAAATTCCATAAAATGTATACACCATAATTTAAATAATTACCTACTCAATGTGAAAATCATATATAAATTTATGGTTAGACTAATCAAATGGAAGGTTACATTTTTAATGTTGTTCATTATGTATTGCCAAAATTCTACCTTATAGAACTTTAACTTTTTAAAGCCATTGTTAATGTCATTATTGCTTGGCATTATTATTATAATTTTTAATATTTACTAACTTATAGGCTAAAATAATATATCATTATTTAAATTGAATTTAGTGGATTGAATTTTTATGCATATATATTCCAATTAGTTAATTTTTTAACAGACCTTTTTCAGATTTGCCTAAAGTCATCTATGTGTTTATCATTTGTATTAGTTCTATTTATTAGATATTAACCTTGTAAAAATATTCTTTTGTTTTATTTTTCATAAATAGTTTCTCGATTTTTTTAAGCATTCAGACAATTGAATATTTTAGGTATGTAAATCTGTCAATTTATTTTTTATTAATGTTTAGAAACCCTCTTAGGTGATATAATTTTATTATGCATAGATGTATTGGATATATTACCTTTTAAGAGGAAAGACTGTGAACTGGGCAAAAGCTTAGTGTAGTTAGAATAAAGATCTGTGTAATCAGTGCTGAGGCCTACATTTGGGAAGGAGGTTGGGGATAATGTTAAGAAGTTATGACTTCCAGCTCAGGAAGTACTCGAGTAGATTCTTTTATTTGAGAATTGGGGGCCACTGAAGTTTTTAGACAAGAAGTGCTATGATAAAAACAACTTTTTAGGTAGTACTAAGTACTGAATGTATTGGAGGCAGAAACAAATCCGTGGGTGGCAAAAACAAGGTATGTTAGCTTCCTATTGCTGCTTTAACACATTATCACAAATTTAGCAGCTTAAGACAACACAAATATAATGGTGCAATTCTGAAAGTCAACAGTCTGAAATGGATTTCACTGGACTGAAATTCAGGTACAGGCAGGGCTGTGTTTTCTCTGGAGGTTCTGAGAAGAATCTGTTTCCTTCCTTTCCCAGCTTTATTTCTTGGCTAGTGACTCCTTTATCTTCAGAGCTAGCAGCATAACATCCTCAAATCTTCCTATGACCCTGCTTCCATCATCACATCTCCTTCTCTGACTTTGACCCTTTCTATCTCCTTGTAAGGCTTCCTGTGATTACATTGGACCCAGCTGGCTAATCCAGGATAATCTCTGCATGTCAAGAGGCTTAACTTAATCATATCCACAGTCTCCCTTTCTCTTGTAAAGTATCAGATTCTGGATATTAGGATATTGACTTTGGGGGGTGACATTATTCTGCCTACCACACAATGACATGACATAAATTCATATATGAATTAATGAAGAAATTAGCTATGGTGGTAGCTATGCAATTGACATCCATCTGTACTTCCCTGCATAACTAATCAGACATAAATTTCTGCTGTCTCTTCCTATGCATGGTTCCTTGAAGCTATTTATTTCTTCCTTTTAATTCCTGCTAAATCATTCTTGAATTCACCATTTGTGCTTTTGCTAAAACTGTTCACTTGCTTTTGCTAAAACTGTTCACTTGATCTAATAACTATTTTCTATATCTTTTTCCACTATCCAGATTTTGCTTATTCATTATTAATTCCATTTCATCTTGTGGTTAAACTGAGATGAGCGATATGTAGGTGGTTTTCTTCCTTGTTCTATGAGACTTCTGTTGTTGTTTTTATCGTTTTGTCATTTTTCAGAGTATTAGTTTTTCCTGCAAACATGGCAGGTGGTCAGACTGAGTTTATTCATTATAAATCACACAGGAAATCAATCCAAATGGCCAATTTTATCTTTAAAAAAAGTTGAGCAACTAGATATCCAAATTACGCTCTTATGCAGAATCTATGCTCCGAATCATTTTTTCATTGCCCTGTGTCCTTTTCCTCCCCTATAGTCTACAAGTTATTTCCACCAAAGTTGAAACAAAGAATGCTATGGACAGCTAGCTATATTTTCTCATTGTAGAAAGGAAAACCTGAAGATCAGAGATTCCCTGATGAAGTCACTGAATTATTAAATAGTAGTAAAAGAATACTTGAAACCCAGACTCTTGACTCATTTTTGTAACAAGGAGCATGCTGCTTATTACACCACACTACCTGAAGTCTAAATCACTGGAAATTAAACCCTCATATATCTATCAAAGGATTGCTTCCTTTGAAGCCTAACAAAGAGATATGAATTTATGATAATCTCTATTTCTTACTTTTCAATCAGTTGTGCTGGTATTTTGTAAATATAAGACACAGTATATAAAAACGTGGAGAAGAAATATGGTTAAATATTTCACTTATTTTTTAGTGAGATGTGCCCCAGGAAGGGGTTGTTGAAAGCAGTGATTTGACACCATCCCTTTTCCCACTACTGAAATCAAGTGACAAACCCAGTATTTGCCACTAAAATAAAAACATTTAATAGACTTATCAGAGCAGACATTTAGGGTTAGGTTGGACTCCTTGGCTTTCCTTATCTGACCCTGACATTCAGTGATGCCCGGGTCTACGAGTCAGTCTGGTCTGTTCTACAGAGCACAGCTAGAGAAACAATCAGAGGATGAGTCTTTGCTGGTTGGTAGACATGTAGATATTATTCTTCTCACTCATTGAAGAGATTTTACCAGATCCAGTTTCATAGCCCTGCAAATTTGAGAGCTGACTTTTAAAATTGATAGTCTGAAGTTGGGATAGGGTCAAACTTTTATTTGTATAAAAATAAAAATCTATAAGAAGAGGATGATAAAGTGAAGCATTGGGGCAAATGGGCATATTGTAAGGTCTAAGGTTGGTTGCATTCTCTTTGAAGTACCAAAAACGGCAATGAATAGCTTAAAGAGATAAACATATTTATGTATGACTCTTTCTTAGAAATTTGAGGTATAGACAAGAATAAGACAGAAACAGTCCCTAATACACAACAATTGACTTAATTTCTTTTTCTTAATGGATAGAGAGCATCCATAATTTCTTTCTTTTTTTTTAATTCAGGGCATTATGGGGGTACAAATATTTTGGTTACATGAAATACATTTGCCTCGCTCAAGCCAGGGCCACAAGCGTGTCCTTCCCCCATATAGTGCGTCCTGTCTCTGTTAGCTGTGGGTTTTCCCACCCTACCCGCTCAACCCCCCACTCCCCAGTGACTGGCACACAGTGAGTATTACTACCATGTGACACTTTAGTGTCACAATTAGTACCAGTTTGATGATGAGTACCTGTGGTACATATTTTTCCATCCTTATGATACCTCACTTCGAAGGATGGGGTCAATCTCTATCCAGAATAATAGAAGAGGTACTAGATCACCATTGTTTTTTGTAGTTGAGTAGTATTCCATGGTATACATATACCACATTTTATTAATCCACTCATGTATTGATGGGTATTTGGGTTGTTTCCACATCTTTGCAACCGTAAATTGTGCTGCTATAAACATTCAAGTGCAGGTCTTTATTATAGAATGTCTTTTTTTCCTTTGGATAGATGCCTAGTAGTGGGATTGCTGGATCAAATGGTATTTCTATTTTTAGCTCTTTGACGTATCTCCAAATTACTTTCCACAGGGGTTGTACTAATGTGCAGTCCCACCAACAGTGTAAGAGTGTTCCAATCCCTGCGCATCCTCGCCAGCATTTGTTGTTTTGTGACTTTTTGATAAAGGCCATTCTCATTGGAGTTAGGTGATATCTCATTGTAGTTTTGATTTGCATTTCCTTAATGATTAGAGATGTTGACCACTTTTTTTTAATATGTTTGCTGGCCATTCTTCTGTCTCCTTTTGAAAAGTTTTTTCATGTCCTTTGCCCATTTATTGATGGGGTTGTTTGATTTTTTCTTTTATCTTTCAGGACATCTATGTGGTCACTGAAGGACCATCAGCTCACCAACAAGGTACTTAGAAATAAGACTACATCTGACATCTCTCTATCTTTACCTTTTTTTTAGCATACTTCCTCATTTTCTCTTAGTCTGGAATAATGGCAGTTTCTGGTGACTGGTTTGCAGGTACGAAGGAAAAAGAGAAAGTACAGAATGTGAGTGCCCTAACAGATATTCAGAGTGGAGTTTGTGTGTGTATCTGTAGGTTAAACCCTGAAGCATGACTCTTGAATTGCAATAGCATAGCATGTTCCACTCTTCATAGAAAAGACATATTTCATAGGGTGTCACTTCCTTTGAATGTAGCAATACTACTGAGTTCAAAAGTACAAATATTACAGCCAGGAACAATGTGTTGCTTGGAATTATGTTTGAGAAATCTTTTAAGGTTGTAGCTGTCTAAAACTCTGCCTGCAAGGAATTTTCACATAGGTTCTGTCATATCCCATCAAAGACCAGTTCATCACAAATGGGGGAATAATTGTTGTGATATAGAATGATTGCATTTCAGTTCTCAGTGTGAGAGGAGTAGTAAACAGGTGAGAAACTAGTAAATCTTGCAGAGGACAGTGCTTTATTGCTCTAAATACATACCCCAGGCTAACTTCATCCTAAATCACTCTAGCAAATGACTAAAGAAAGTCAAAAGGAACAAAAACTTACTGAACATTTCGACACCTATAGCAAACACAATATTTTAACTGACAAGAGGCTTACGTGTGATGAAGTGTAATTATGACAGGTCCAACAACTTTACTATCCACAAATTCTACTCAGGTAAATACATATCAACTATATGAAATAAAAATACATGGTTATTCAACTGTGGCAAATATAGGAAGACAACAGTAAAGTGATTAACTATGGTGAGGGATGGGAAACTGAAGGATCCTTGGAAAATCCAACTGGTGCTAAGAAATGATTCTGGGAAGTCAAGAAAATCTAGGAAGGAAATAAGAAAAATTACATGGTGATTGCCTAAAGTAATTATCTTTCTGGCTTTAGTGTAGAGTGGTTAGTAAGTATGGCCTTTGGGTTGGAGAGGAAGCTGCTCAGGTGTCAGTTCGGTATGACCTGTGCTTCCCAGGATGTGAGCCTGTCACAATCCCTGCATAATTAAGAAGGTGGTTCCAGTGCTTGGAGAAACAGGAATTAAAAATCCATTTGAAATCAAGCTGAGATAAAATTTGTGATCCTTTTTAAGACTCAGTGCCTATGAGTGAGTTCTAAGATATTGCCAGGTTAAACAAGCAAGTAGGTGTAACCAATGCTTCATCTATCCATTAAGAAAAATAAGTTAGGTCAATTCTTGTGTACTAGGGACTGTTTATGTCCTATTCTTGTCTATACCCCAAGTCTCTAAGAAAGAGTCATACAGAAAACACGTTTTAAATAAACATGGGTAATGGAATTTGGTGTTTGCAAACTAAAATTGATTAGGAATTCTTATTGTTTATGTGTACTATAAATAATATACACTTGAAACTGTATCTAGGCATTGTGTGAAATTCTCTGTTAATAACTAATATAATTGATGTTGTTTGTGTATATATATGTGTTTATGTATACACATATATATGTTTGATATAATTGATAGGAGTTCTGAGTAGGAGGAAATATGCTTATTATAAAAGCACTATCTGAAGAAAGATAAAAATATATATTTGAGATGAAATTTGGAGAATTTAGTACCATTTTGTCAGTAAAAAAGTATTTTCTTTGAAGATTCCAGCAATGAAAAAACTAAGAACTTTTTGTTAACTTTCATAGTATGTTCCTTACAGGAGTTATTCTTGGTCACCTTTTATATTTATATGTATACATATATATATATACATATATATGTATATATTCACACACATGTTCACAATATTTTAAATATGAGTTAAATTGGTACAAATACAAAAATACAAACTGGGTTAAGAAACTGGGCAGATGACTATTTTGCTTACTCCCCATTATATTTGGCATGCATTAGGGCATATTAGATAAAATTAGGCCAAAGACAAAGGAAAACTGTATTCTGCCTCAAATCACTGCATCATTGCCTTTCCTCATACAATTCTAAAAAAAAAAAAAAGAGAGAGAGAGATAAAGGCACAAAGAACTATTACTTTATCATCAACTGGGTTTTTATTTCATTGATGTGGAAAATTGGGCCAGGTCATGGGCCTTTTGGTTTCCCACCAGTGTCAAACCTCCCCAAATCCAAACTGTGGGTCTCATTATCCTCTGGCTAACTCTAGGAAGGGATGGGAGAAAGGAAAAAAATGATAGAGTCTGTTCAGGGATGGCAAACCTAGTGGAAGGAAAGAGGTACTTCACCCCTGTATGAGACCTTTTAATACGCAGCTAGACTTCATCCACAAGCAATGATTGTCTAGTCATTCTGTTTGTATCTGACTGATAAGATTAGTGATAATTCTTTCCAATATATGTGGGCTGGAGCAAGAATGAGAAAGAACATGAGGGAGGAAGAAGTCATGAGTATGTGCCATTCTCACTGGCATACAGTTCTTGATTAAAATAAATGTAACAATAAATTCCAATTAAATGTTGCTATAGTCACAGAAATCACAGAATTAGCAATATTTGGCTAATGATCTACCAGACTCCAGGAGAAATTTCCAGTTACCTTTGCACCAGTAGGGATCTAGGGCATAATGTATGTTTGACAGGAAGAGAGAGAGAATAATTTTCATCTCTCTCCATTGAATCCATCCATCACAAAGATATAAAATCTTAGTCAACCAAATGTCAGAGGCAGCTGGAGCTAATTACCCCCACTTTCACACTAATCTTTCCATTTAGTCTCCCTTTTTACATTCATTCAAGGTCTAAAATACATAGTAACTTAATATTGGCTAGAGACAAACTGTAATGTGTATGGTGCTTTCCATCTGGGACCTGAAGATGTTGGTGAGAAAAGGTAGCCATGGGCAGGTTGCTCTTTGTTAGCTCTTTTTGTTTTTTGTGTGTTTTGGTTTGGTTTTCCTTTTCCCACTGATTGTGCGGGCATACGTGTCCATTGGCACATTCAGCCGACCAGGTATGAGGACAGTGGCCCCCTCCTTAATTCAGCAGAAACACTAGATAAGTGATTGCTAAAAACTAGAAAATGGTCAAGATGTACAGATCAAGCAGGGTTTCCAGATTAACATTTGAGATAGAGACTTTAAAAGCACACAGGTAGTTATTAGGAAACTAATGACATGTGCTATCCCTTTCCCCCAATTATGGACAGATATTATATCTGGATTCAAGGATGAATAGACAGAAAAAGAATGTGTAATAACATGATGTCTATGAATAGATTTTGTGGCTTAAAAGAAGAACATTTAAATTCAAGTTCATACATGGCACTAATGCATTGTAGTATATGGAATTAAATTTTAAAATCTATTGTTTTATAATCTCAATAATTCAAAACATGAACAATACGAAACAAGAGAACAAAGAGGAAATAAGGCAAAAGACCATGATGAAAGAAGAGACAGACAAGGTAAGTAAATATTAGGTTGATGCTAAAAACTGCCAGTTGAGAATTTAAAAATGCATTAGAAATAATAAAGATTAAAGACTGACATCACAGAAAAGGGAAGCAGTGATGCGGGGCACACATTAGAGAAGCTTTTCCAGGATACGAGGCGAAAGGATTAAGATATGGAGATGACAGTGAAGATGAAACATGAAAGATTAAAGAGAATCGGCATAACAGATAAACGAACAGAGATCAGAAAGAGTGGTAAAAAATCAGTAACCGAAGTCATATCTATAGAAAACTTTTCTAAACTGAAGAAAGCGTTGAGTCTGCAAAATGAAGGGTCTCACTGAGAAGCAGGCAGCATTAATGAAACGAAGCCAATATTTAGACACATCACGCTGAGATATCTGAATTTCAAAGGATAAACAAAAAATATCCTACAAACATCCAAGTAAGAAAAATTAGATTATTTGTGTAGGAAAAAAAATTAAATGAGTCTAGGATGTCTTCACTGCTAGATGGCAATGCTAGAAGCAATATTTATAGTGTGAAGGGAGACGATGACAATGTTATGACTAAAGATCCCACATGCAGGCATATTGCCTTTCTTGTGCAGTGGCAACAAAAAGACATTCTGCAATATGCACAGCTCATAAGATGTGCTATACAAGTTTCATCCCTGACGATATTACTCAGAGATATTCTCTGACAAAGAGATGAATCATACTAATAAAAAAAAACCTTTGAGAACAGTAAAGTGTTATTATAGAAGCACTGACAGCGAGTAGTAAAATCAATTAAATGAAAAATACAAGTAATTATAATGATTGCAAAAATAATAAAAATATAAATTTCAAAGAGCAGATTTTAAAGAGCAAATTAATAATGTAAATTATTAAAATGTAATAAGAATCTGGGTATAAAATTTTAGATCAGTCAGTGAGTGGGGGAAGTGGGTAGAAACAGAAGCATAAACACTAGAACGGTACTGATTTTTGTTTGTGTTTCTATAGCCACTTTGATGAATGCCTTAGAAAGGTCACTTGTTTATATTTTTAAGTACACAATCATTTCATCTATAATTGTTCATAATACCGTCTATTCCTTCGCAGTAGTTTTCTCTCTTATTTCTGCTATTTGTTTCTTTATAGTTTTTAGCAGACACAAACATAAAATCCTGCTGCTGCTACTGGAACAGATCAGCAAGCTCTGCTCCAGTTCTCCTGGTTATGAAGATTGGCTCAATCTTTCCTTTGTTGTCAGGCCCAGCCAGTCCCTTAGAATTATCACTGGCGAGGGTGTTTCTGGCCTGAAGGCTCTAGAGTAGATCCCTAATGCCTGATTTTCCAGCATTTCGAAGGTGTTCAGATGCAGGCAGCTTATAGACCGCTCTGTGTGGTGAAAATATTCCCTTTGATTGTTAATTAGTTCTTTGACCTGCATTAACAATGTCAATCTAGCAAGCGTCAATGTCAGGGAACACGTCAATGTCAGAGAATGCAACTATATTCTTTCACATATGTATTTG